CGCGATATGAATTTTAGGCCATATCGCCCAGCCCTAAGTTGTCCCGTTGATGAAGACCTCTCCACAGCCGTTCATACTGAAGTAATAAAGAATAGATAAACGATTAAATGGCAGTAAAGATCTTTTTTTTCACTATTATGGAAAAATCCCCCAATCTGGACGATGAGCTAACAGAACTTTTTCTGTAATTTTACAGATTTGCTACCCACTCTGGCTGCCTCGTGGTCGAGTTCACGAGCTGAACCGGACAGACCGGTGTACGGATGAAGCGTTTGGGAATATTTGCTAAATCCTAGAAGCACAGCCTGGTTGGCATCCACGAGCAGGCTTTAAACGAGCCGTGGTGAGCAGCATCCAGCCACCTCTGAACACAACAAACCCTCCTTGGGCTCTGTGCAGCAGCCGGCTCAGTGGCCTCTGTTGGGCTACGTTAGTGACGGAGACGAGCGCCGATCTACGTTCCTGCACCTCAGAAAGGTGAACAGACTCCTCCTCAGACTCAGAGTGAAGACATCAGACCCTCAGATGGAGTCCGGAGTCGCGACGATAACCCTCCACATCTGAATGAGCAGGCCTGGATGCCTCTGCTGAGGTCACAGACCTTTCTGTTGTTCTCTTATTGTCATTTATCAACCTTGGCATCGCCCTGTAAACTTACTGCTTCTCCATCGACTTATTGTCTTTACAAGATCACATCTTATTCTCACGTTGATCGGAGCCAATGAACTAGAAATCATCCCTAAATCATAGAAAGCCTGACAGAAACAGCTCCTCGCTCCAGATAAAAGAATAATAAATGAATAAACGAGCAGGTGGGATTTAGTTTAGCGTTTCCTGTCACCTGCAGGATGAAGTGAAGCAGACATTCGTGTACATGAGGAGGAGACACTCACGCTGTACGATGAAGGGCTTGGTGACGACGGCAGGCTTCTTGTCTTCCCTGGGGAGCTGCACGTGTGGAAGAAAAACACAACGAAGGTCATCAGGCAGCCTGTTTGGACTCTGGGTTAATAAACATAATCATCCATCTTCCACTGTAACGCGACGCGATGACGGCTGTGAAATGTGCTTTATCTCATCTGCGACGACGTTTCGGGAGACAAAACCGTTCAAGTGTCCTCGCCACCGAGCCCGGGGGGAGACACGAATTCATCATTTAGTCGCCGTCACAGGAGAACAAAATGAAAACGTCTGAATGTCTGAAGGCTGCTGGAAAACAAAGCGCAGCCCGCAGGCCGGCATTCGCTCGGTTTAGCCCCGGGTTGAAACGGCAGCGGTGATTAATTAAAAACACGAGCAGCTGTGAAACATCAGCGGAGAGAAATTCAGGAGGTAGCGTCTCTGTTTCTGTCTGAAACCTGGAGCAATCAAACATCTCAGGCTGACTTCATAATTAACACTCTGTCGCCCCCTTCAGGCTCAAACTAACATTTGCAGGACGTGAACACAAACATGCTGCAAGTTGAATGTGCTGGTTGTTTTTAACATTAACAGAATTTAAAGCAAAAACTTGAGGTCATTCCTTCATTTCAGGTTGTTGTGGCCGTTTTTGTTGAATGTTTATAAAACGCAATTTGTATTCATTTTTGTTTTTTCTTTAAAGTTATAAGAATATGCTGACCTAGTTTTGTTATGTAAATTTGTAATTCATTTTATTGGAAAAGGTTTTGGAAAGTGATTGGTTTATTGGCTCATGGACCCTCCCATTAATCAGGGGATTAAGAGCACCCTGGAGGGGTGTGGTAAAGATGGTTTTTTGTTTGCCAAATGATGGGAAGACGGGAGGGTTAGAAAATGATTTTTTGACCACTTTTGAAGTTGTTAAAGCAAATTGAGTTAACTTTCGTTTAATTTTAAGTTTTAAGAAGTTATTTGGTTGATTTTTGTTTATAATTTTCCACGAAATAAACGCCATATGATTTTTAAACAATGGAATCAGAAGTGCGTTCTAAAACAAACCTCCCGTTGCCACCCACGGCCTTTTCTTGGACTTTTTTGGTGTTTGGAACATAAAAGGTTAGTTGCTATAAATGTGACTAATTTAATCACTTTCCTCTTTAGCTCTACACTCACAGACCACTTCATTAGGTACACCTCCTCAGCTGCTCGTTAACACAAATATCTAATGAGCCAATCATGTGGACATGGTCAGGGTGACCTGCTGATGCATCAGAATGAGGCAGGAAGGTGGACGTTGTTGGTCTGAGTGTTTCAGAAGCATTTTTCAGACCATCTCTACAATTTACAGAGAATGGTCTGAAAAAGAGAAAATATCCAGTGAGCTGTTTGAAAATGCCTCTTTGATGTCAGAGGTCAGAGGTCAGGATAGCCATGGCTGATAGGAATGCAACAAGAACTCAAAAAACCACTTATTACAGCCAAGGTAGGCGGAGCACCATCTCTGGGTGCATACTGCTTGAAGCAGATGTGCTACAGCGGCAGTCCTGTCAGTCCTGTCAGCTAAGACCTGAGGCTAATTCACACAGGCTCACCAAAACTGAATGACAGATGATTAGAAAGATTGGATAAAAGACATGAATAAAATATAAACATTCACATTCATTTATGAATAAATTCATATTTATGTTTCGAAACTGACTTTGGATTCTTACGGCATCTAAAACATGTTTTTAGAGCAAATTAAGTGCAGCTAAAGAGATCCGAGACCTAAACTGTGCGCAGTCTCTTACCTTCTGCTGTTTTATGGGCAGAGAGCGGTTAGGATCAAAAGCCAGACCCATCTCCTGCAGGTTCCTGGCGACGGACTTGTTGTCATCCCACGCATTTCGAATCTGAGCTCTGACAACGACAACACGTTAGACATGAGAACAGCTCATCTACTGCAGCCTAGCACGTGACCAAGAGCACAAGTTTGTCTGTAGAATCAAGTCTTTAATACACAGGAACAGTTATTCACCAGATTTATTACTAATCAAACGTTAAAGTTCTTGGGCCACCCCAAGATTTACTGAAACGTGCAAAAATACATGTAATCGACATTTGTCATGAAAACCTTAGTCCTCCAACACAGCCGGATACAGCCAGTATTTTCTTTAAGAGGTCTTCAGGAATACTTCGCCAAGCTTTCTGAAGGACATTCAAAGCTCTTCATTCACTTTCATGACCCCACAGAGCTTCAATAATGTTGAGGTCTTGGTTCGGGGAGGCCAATCCATGACTGATGCTGTTCTAACCAGATGTGCTTTTACTACACTGACACTGAGATCACTGTCATGCTGACAAATGCAACCGTTGCCAATCAGATGCTTTCCAGATGATTTGCGTGGTGGATCAAAATCTAATGGTACTTTTTAACGGTTTTGCCAAGATACCCAGCTCCAAACCATCACAGAGCCTCCAGCGTGTTTTACACATGGCTCCTCTGATGGAGCGATGATAGGGAATAATCCCTCCATCAGATCTGCTGCCACTGATTTTCAGTCCAGTGTTTGGATAACTGGCAAACCTCAGCCTAATCTTCCTGTTTCCCTCCGTTAACAATGACTTCCTGACAGTAAACCGCAGATCCATCTCTCAGGCCTTGTGTCAGGTCTTTGCGGGATTTATTTTCCTTCCATTTCTTAATGACATGACTTGTCCAGTTTTCTCAGCATTTTTAAAGACACCCTGCACATCTGCTGCAATATTTCAGTTGTTGGTTCACATAAAAGGACATTGTAGTGCCTGTCACCGTCACTAATGATCATTTCCATCATCAGTCTGTGTATCACTCAAACAACTGCATTAAAAACAGCAGGTGAGGTTTTAGCGGGCCTCTGTACGTTCATCCTCTAACATCAAAAAGCTGATTTCATGACAAATATTCAGTTCACAGTCAGATACTTGTGTTAAAAGTATAAAATACTCTTTTATGAAAAGTTTATCCAAATGGAACATTTCTTGAACAAATGGGACCAATCAACTTTAAACACAGGTGAATTAATGTACTCGATCAATCAGTCGACTCTCGGGTCACTGATATGTTTTAGCTGCAGCTTTAACAACGTGTTTTTGCATCATTCCTACTAATATTAGCACACATGCTAACACTCACTGCTCGATCCTCGGGTTCGACTTCTTCTTGTTCTTCGTCTTCACGTTCTTCCGGTTCCGGTTGTAGTCAAACTTCTTCCTCCGGGCTGACTGCTTGGCTCGCGGCATTTTAGAGATTTTCCTCCGTTTTCAGAGCCGCAAACTTTGTATTGTTCGTACTGTGGCTCAAAAAAAAATCAGAAAGGAACAGGCAACGTGCGGGCAGCAACAGGAAGCACGTGTTTGGTTTGTGCAGGTCATGTGACGACTAGGCCACACCCCTCCAACCCAACCGCTTTTTATTAAAAACGTTATTTTCTCATTTTTTTCAGAATGTACAGAGTCCACCTGCAAAAACAAAATAAAATAAAATAAAATCAAAAATAATGTAGTACAAGAGAAAATAAACACATTTTGATATTTACAAAATAATGTGACATAAAAAATAAAAATGAAGAAATTATTTTCTCTGATTAAAACAATTATTTCATAAATCAGTTTTTGCAGGAAAAACTTAAAAAATAGAAAGTTTTAAGTTTACTGTATGTTATGCCAAACTGCTAAGATATTAACAGAGGTGAGTCCAGAAGGGGGCATGTGGGTCAGAGTATTGTTAATCTTCCAGTGGATGAGAGCAGAAAGAAGGTACAACCATTCACTCACTTACACACTGTAACATTGTAACATATTCCCATGTTATGCTTATGCTTCTACTCTCCTATATGTTGGATACAAATAATGCATCATTTATTTTAAACCTTTAGTATCTTATCTTGCAGATAAATTGCATTAGCAAGCTGCCCAACAATAATATACGTCATTAATATATCAAAGGCTTCAGCAAATTGGTATACACGTCGATCAATCTATAATTTTCATCCATGTCGTGTATATGACCGTGAACATGCCATGAATAATTCATTCATGAATACTTTGATTATAAATCAGAATTACAACTTTCAGCTTTTTTATCCACTGCTAAAAGTCAAAATCCTGTTTTTTCACTTGACAAAACAATTATCCAACACAAACTGATCTTTAAACACGAGCAGTATCGTTCATTACACCACCATCTAAAAACAAGCCCGGTGTTTTCTACGTCATTTTTCTGTGGTGATTTGAGGGGATGTTTATTTTTAAATGAGATGCTTGACATCGTGTTTTTCTGAGCTGCTGAGTCAGAGCTCAGAACCTGCAGCTGATGACTGAAACATCCAGAGGTCAGTGTGATCTAACCTACTCCACACCTGCTCTGAGACTCACAGCGCTGAAATCCAGACATCCTCAGAGTCGTCATTATTCATTATTGATCAGATATAAATAAAATCTACACTTAAACCCTCCTGCCTGTTTGCTTAAAGGTTAAAACCCTGCTGATGATTTGAGTCTCATAGTTTTCTTTGTGAGAAACACCAAAGTAGAAATACTGACACAATCCTCCTGAAATCTAATATATATCAGACTTTAGCGCCAAACCTGAGGAGCAGCCTACAGTCTCTTTAAATACCAGTCGCTTGGGTGTTTTGTATTGTTTTACTGGATTCAGGTGATGATCTCAACATTTTTTAATACGTTTCTAAAGCACTTTTTGACATGTCCTCATCTTAAAAAGCACTATATCAATAAACTTTACGTATTAATAAAACAAGTTTACCTGCACAATATTACCACTTAAATTCACAAATAGCTAAATGACATATGATAACAAAGAAACATCAATAAATATATGCCAATAGTACCACAAGCAGTAGATCTACTAGCAGTTACAGTAGTAGACACATATTTCCTGTACAGTTCACACAAACACACACTGTCGTCAATATTACAGGAAACAATAAAAGTTCAGATGACTTATGAAAATGTAAATTTCCCACAGCAGTGGAATTTCAATTCATACATTGTAAGCCGGAGCTCCTGGAGGCTCTGATTCTAAGAAGAGTCCAAACTGAACTGAATGGGTTTAATAAGTAAAGTAATTTTAGTTCTTTTCAATAGAATTTGCACAAATGTTTGCAGTTAAATTGTGTTAAACTTACCTAAATCTTAAATTGTACTTATTCTTTTAACAATTCATTGTTCTACGGTTTGAACAATGAAATGCTTTAGTTTGTACATGTACATATTACAGTATATGGGAAATACAGCTGCCCTTCTGCTTAATGATGCAGCAGATCTTTTTAACAGGGCAACAATTACATTTTAATATCCATAAATCCTTCATAATTAACATTATCTCAATTTATCAAGTTAAAAAAAGCAACAACAACAAAAAATGTCCACCTGAGAATTTAAAAAATCCAGGAGAAAGAAAAATTTGTGCAAAATGCAGATTCCTGTTGTCATTAGTTTTCTCAAAAATACTTTTGGGATGAAGGTAGAGCTGTTTTTCAACGTTTTCCTGAAATCATATTTGAGAGGCCTTTTTAAGGACTGTTTGAGCTTCTCTACCATTGTAGACTGTCAGGAGTGGCGCTCGAGTTAATGACGAATGCTTGAATTCCCTGAAATGTTTGGATGTACAATCTCTGACAACCAAATCTGCTGTCAAAGATCACACATCCAAATGTTTCAGGGAATTCAAGCATCCATCATTCTATGTCAACTGAAGACCTCTCCTCAGAGTCCACATTTAAAAAGTACTGAGCTCAAGTCATTTTAGATAATGGAATTATAAAATTGCCTCTCATTAAACAATTATAGAAAAAAATCTGCATTACTTAATTCCTTACAGCAGGGGTCTGCAACCCTGGGCACGCGAAGGGTTAACTGATGGCACGACCATAGCTGGACTGCCCGACGGCGATTTTTCGTTTTTATGGGCTGATGATTTTTTGGCAGATGTGTAAAAATAACTCTGGTGGTGGCTGTGGCGGAGCTTCCACAGAGGCCAGCAGGTGGATGAGAGAAAGGGGAGACAG